CTCTGGGTTTTCTGTGCTTCGACAGTTTCACTGTGGGAGGCGTGACGTTCCCACACCAAAGACCGATGGACGTCCTGGGGTCTCTGGGTTGGGTTTCTTGTGGAAGGCTTCTTGTGGTCGGGCCTCCACTGTACGGCGTCTCATCGACGATCGCGTCCTTGGGCGGGGCGAGCTCCTTCTTGTTCGGAATCATCTCGCTGTCGGTGGGCTTCGTCCCCTTGATGAGGTCGTTCAGCTCCGGCCCCTTGCCCTGGCCCTTCGGCGGCGCCTTTTAGCAGTGGGGGTGCAGTCTTCGCCTCCACGGGTGTGCCGAGGAGCCCCACGCCCCTGAAGAGCGCCCTCTGCCGACCCGCCCTGATCACAGCCTCTGGCCGGCCTGTGCTGGGACAATGACGAGAGCGTTTTGGAACGCTCTGAGATTCTCGATTGATCCTCATTCGAATTAGTCCTCGCCCTGGCTCCGTCTTATCTGGGTCCACCTCCTGCAGATAGCACGCGTTCAACATTTTGTCGAGCTGCTCGCGTTTCACGTATATGCACGTTCTGGTTCAAGTCCCGGCGGTTCTGCACCTGGTGACGGCATATTTGTTCATCGCCGGCAGGGTGCTGAACGAAGTTGTCGAACGATGTCGATCGCTGCTGACTCGGAACTGCCAGAGCCATAAACAGCTGAGGCAGCTGGTCGCGGTCAAATTCAGGATTGTTCGAGCGATCTCTATCCCCATCCCCATCCCGAGCCCGACCATTTTACCACGCCAGTTGGGGATATACCCCTCGAAACCCGAAGGGAACAGCCCATATCCCCATCTAGGGGAGTTAAATCGGCCAGTGGGGCCCATGCCATGCCGTTGGGGATAGGGGTCGGATAAACGATGCTCACAAATGGGAACATGGTGAAACCAGCCCGTGCGCTGGACTCGCAGGATCGTCGACCCGACGGATCGAACTCGTCATTGATGGCTTCTCGTGTTCCGCTGTCCCCGAGGATCTGCTCCGTTCGCCTCTCCCACTGAGAGATATTCGCCGTCTCCAGCCGTTCGAAGTTCGGACAGACCGCGTCGTTGTCCTCGCGCTCGCTGGTTTTACCCGACCGTCGCCTCTGGCGCATCGACCCGCAAGTCCTCGTCCCGTGTCGGCTCCGTCGTCCCAGTCGCCGTGCGCACGGAAACCGCGCAGAACTGGGGCCACCAGGGAGGCCTCCAGCCTGAGGCCGGTTTTCAGAGCGTGAGGGACGCGAGACAGCAGTTCCAGGACAGATGCGATACGTCCAACTCCAGGATTTGTCCAGAGCCACCTGGGAAAGCTCCTCATTTCTACTGCGATCTCTCTTGCCCCTGCCTCCCCGCCTGGACCCAGACAGCCAATTTTCTGCCTGGGTCTCGGGAAGAACAGGGCACTGTCCCTGTTCCACACAGCTCCGGGCCTGTGAGGAGGCACGCGTGGCCCTCGCCGACTCAGGCCGCAGGTCGGTCGTCAGATGCCTGGAGTGGAGAACGTTCGCCTGGAGGTGCCGCTTGAGCTTATGGCGATGAGCCGTATCATTCGCGTAACCGGTCGTGATGCTGCCTTTCTTGAGCATGTCTTAAGTCGGGCCTGTCCCTCTACAGGGGGAATATTCCAAGATAGTTAGAAAAATAGTCTGGGGGCGATCTCTGACCATGTTTGAAGATTTGGGGGGCATATTTTCTGATTATCTCCAGTTTTTCGTACAAGATCGGCCTGCAGGGGGACGGGGGACGGGCCCGACCTGGAGCAAGTCGACGCCCAACGGCATCGGCGTCCCACGATCTGGCACGTGCCTCCGGATCGCCTCTTCGTCGAGGCTGGCCGCTGGGATGTCCACGCGCGCCTCGGCGCGTCTGCCCGACCTCCGCCAGCGAGCGCAGAGCTCAGACTCGAGGTGGCGCCAACAGGGACCTCCCTGCCGATGGCCCGGCATTGCTCGGGCGTGTGCACTTTTTCTCGGCGAGGGCCATCGAGGAGCATACCGGGCCGTTTTGTAAAAAAAAAGCCACGCACGAAGCCGAGGAATGCACGGGGAGTGGACGTCCGAGCGATGGCAGGATGGTCGCGAGAGCTTTTTCTTTAGGAAGGAAGAATGGCATGAACACACAAACTCGGAGGTCCGCGCGGATTTCTCGGATCCGCGCTGGACCCCCTTCGCTGGCGCGCGGAGCGCGCCAGGGGCGGCCTCGGCGCCGATCCGAGAAATCCGCGCTGACCTCCAGTTTTCATGTTTATGTATTTCTTCCCCTACGATGGTCCAGCTGTAGCTGTGCCAACTAGGACCGGCAGCCAACCAGGAACAACGAGGACACCATGAGGGCCCCCCCCACCGTCCGTCAAACAACAGTACAAACACTAATAATCTGCCCTACATTTGGAGCATGCGCGGCCAACCCGATGCGCCCCCCCCCCCCATCATCCCTTTCAAAACAATGATACAAAGTACGCTTTGGGGGAAAGCACTGTTTTTGACGGACGGAGGGGATGTCAGCATGTTCCCTGCTATGCGCAGGGCTACTACAGTCGGCCCAGATTAGTAGGTCGACCCTGCCAAATCAAGGGTACCCTTGCGTCTTGTGTCTCGCGACCCATGCTTCCTACATTCCTGTGGCAATGTGGCCCTCGGAAGGGTCTGCTGTCCTCTCGCGTGTCCTGTCCAATCGAGTCCGACTGTATCCCTAACAAAAAACAATACAAAATGCACTCGTGCGCCCCCCCCCGGCCATCCCTCGTGGCACCAGCTGCAGCTGTGCCGCTCACTCCCTCAGACCTCGGCGCGCCACCGCCCGGCAGGGCCGGGCCGCCGCCCTCCTCGACGCGGAACGCCACGAGGCCGTCGTCCCCGACGGGCCCTCAGAGTGAAGTCGGGCCTGTCCTTCTACAGGGGGGGATGTTCAAAAATAGTCCGAATCATCTTCTGGGAACGGTCCTTTTGATTACAGTGGGGGCGCCCATCAAGGAACCATCTGAGTTTCGTCAGGGTGACCCTGGGTTTCTTCTCTCCTCGCGCTGCGCGGTGACTTCCCGCAGCCGTTGAAGGAGCTGCTGCGTTCAGGGTGCTCCAGGTTTCGCCTCAGGTGCACCTCGCGCACGGGTTCTCAGGGTTGGGTTTCTTGCGAGGGTGTCTTGCGGCCGCGCCAACACTGTACTTTTTGACAATTTTTCAGTTGTTTTTTAGCCATCTTTAATGTTTCGTCCAAAATCCGCATGTAGGGGGAGACGCTGGACCTAGCCTTCGAGCCCTTCTCTGGAGTGTCCAGCGCTCCCACGAAGCTACCGAATGCCTCCCCCGATCACCGAAGAAGAGAAAACACGACACAAACATAAGCTTTTGGCGCTCCGCGCGGACTTCTTGGATCTGCGCCGGGCCCCCCCCCTGGCGGCGCCTCCTGCGCCGCCCCCTGGTGCGCTCCGCGCGCCAGGGAGGGGAGCCCAGCGCAGACGCAGGAAGTCCGCGCGGAGCGCCAAAAGTTTATGCTTATGGCCTTCTGCTCGTGCAGATCGGGAGCTCATGTCGTATCCACGGCTCCCGCGGACTCGGGCTGTCTCGAGCTCGATGTGCAGGGCCGCACAGGAGGCGGCCGCCCCCTGGCCGCTTCACCTCGGCCCCTCCCTGCTGCTCCTCCTCGGCGGGCCGCTCCTCCCCGCGGCCCCGGCCGCCGCCCTCGTTGGCGCACGCTGGACTGCGAGCTGATCGTTGGCGCCGACGCCCACCACTGGGAAGTGGCCTCAAGTCGGGCCCGTCCCTCGACAGGGGGAATCTCCAAAACTGGTCAACAAAAAAGGCTGGGGGCTACTTTCTCACCAATTTTTGAAGATTTTGGGTATGTTTTGACTATTCTTTGAGATTTTCGTCCAAAATCGGCCTGTAGGGGGACGTGCCCTTAAAAGTAGCCTTCTCTTTCTGGGGGAGTTGACCAGCGCCTTGGCCTCTGTAAACAACAAGAAAGTCCGTGGCGTTGCGCAGGCCAGTTCGTCCCAATTCGGCGGCGAGCGAGGGGGGGAAGTGATAATCAAGCAGTGGCGAAGCGTCCTGGCTCGCCTATAGGCCTACCAAATAATGTTCTAAGAACCTCTTGTGGCTTCCACGAACTGTTCTCAGAACAGTTCTGGCGGGGACCGTCTCGTTTTAACACATTGGGTTTTTGTTCTAAGAACATTGTTTTGGTTCTTAAGACATGTTGGGGTTCTGAGAACATGCCGCGGTAGGACTATAGGAATGCCGGGACGGTCGGTCCCTGCTCAAGGGAAGGAGACCGCCTTCTCAGACGATTCGGAAGCCCCGCGGCAGTGTGAGAAGTTCCCCGAGCCTTCCCCGCCGAAGACCCAACAGACTGCTCAGAAGGCGCGAGGGCTTCTGAGAAGTCCCGCCGGGCCTTCTCCTTCTCACTCCCCCCCGCGCCCGCCGCCGACAAACTCTTATCTGCGTGTGCTGGTTCTCCGCCTGATGCCTCATCGTCAGCGGCGTGAGCTCCAGCGCCTGCTCCTGTGCGCTTCACGTAGCCGACGATCTCCTCCGCAGCCGCCATCGCCGCCTCCGTTGCTCTGTCGACCTCTGTGAAGCCGTCTAGGTGACCCTCGTCAGGGGCCTCCTCCAAGTACGCCGCCAACTCATCTTTGCGAATTAGTCCTGCTCCGAAGTCCCTCCGGACATTGGTGTAGCCCTTGCTCCTGTCCTTCGCCGCCTGGGGATCCTCCGTCTATTTTGAACAGAGGGGCTGCTTGATATCCGCACACATGTAGGAATTTCCGTGCATGCCACTCGTCGCCAGCAGCCCCGCGTGTTCGGTCGGTTCGAGGTTCGCCCCCACATGAGGAACATCCCTAACAGAAATGGAGGTATGACAAATTCTGTCTCGACCTTCGTCCCTTGAAGGTCAAATCTCGAGCACCACTTCTTTGGCCCTTCACCGGGGAGTCGGAACATCTTGCGCATGAAGTCTCTTCACTTGTTCACCGACTCTGGTACGTACCGTCATAGTCCCTCTGATAGC